ATCCTTTGTTTTCATGTTTCTGCTCAGTGACTGAAATCTCCTGCCTTCTTGGGGAAGGAGTGGGGAAGATACTTCAACCATTCTCTCTATACATACTCCTTACACTCAGGGGAGGTGTGTGACTATCAGATGGGTGAATATGGGCAAAGGTGACTGACTGCACATGAATTGTCTGCTACCTGCCTGGACCTCCCAGACTGCAGCCCACCACAATCTCTGCAGCTGGTAGGGCCAAGTCTCTAGATCTGCAGGCCCAGCCTCCCCATCCCAGATTTAGGGAGGACAGCCTGGTTTTGGCTTCCAGAACATGCCAACTTACGGTGCATTAACTGAGAACAGAGAGGTGGTGCTGGAAACCCATGTTAGAGGACTGGATGGGGCCTCAGCAGCTGAAGCAGGCTGACTTCCAGCTGCTTCTAATACTCGGGAGCCATGTAAACAGGCTTTGTAACTCAGCTAGGCCATCCTGGCTATGGTGTGAGCAGTGCAACATTTGGGTCACTGTGAGGCTTGGGCTGGTGTCATCCAGCCCTGGCCATGTGACCCTCTGTGACTATAATCTATACAAGCAGAGCGAAGGCACTATTGCAGAAATAACCTAAGGCAGGTATTTTATTATCGGAGAGGTGTTATGCAAATTGTGGAGGTCCCAGAAAACCTCAGGTATTGTTTGTGAATCCCAAATAAATAACCCAGAGGACTGGCTGTGAGAGACATGGTGCGAACCGAAGTGAAGTTGTCCCACTAAGTCCCATCCAGCCTAAGGACAGGCCACAGCAGGGGGTAGTGCTGCTGCTTTGCCACCACCCAGACTTTCCACGAGGTCAGAGTACAGAAAACAGAAAAACAGGGCATGCAGAGGGACGGGGAGGTCCCAGTGTGCAAGCTTTGTGAAGTTAAAACACTAGCTGTATACAATCCAGGCTCACATCTAGAAGCAGTTTCTCTTTGGTCTTAGACCGAGTTGCTGGCCAGGTTCCTAAGGTCTCACAGTCCACTTGCAGATGGCCTTCACTGTTCACAGGATGGGAGGGGAGTTGGAGCACGGGAAGGAGCCCATGTTCCCATTTACTATTCAGGAGAGTTTTCCCTGTGTCATGTGAAACAGGTATACATCTTAGCCCACTAATACACTTGTTCAAGAATTTCAACTGCATTTTCTGAAATGCCATCAATTTTGACTTCATGGTTCCTTTGCTCCCTAACTGAGGTTTCCATCATATCTCTGGCACAGGGGGACTTCCGTGGTGATGAGGCACGCAGGGAGAGAAAACACTTGGTCCTTGATCATGAGTCCATAAAGGTGACCACCAAGAAATCAGCTGTCTGTGGCCCCATCCAGATTTGGTGGCTATCTCAAAGTGCTTTTTTTGGAAAAATGAACTTTGTTGTGTTTTGATTTAGACTCTCTTGATTAGAAAAAGTAGGATAAGAAAATTTCTGCCCATTTCAAAAGCCGTAAATAGTGCCACAGTTAACACTGAGTGACTGAGAATCTTGACAACTGCCCCAGCCCCATCTAGATGCTGGGAAGAAAAATCAAGCAGAATCTTTCCTTTTCTGCCTCCGTTTCCTCCAGTTTGAACTTTGGTGACTAGCTAGTAGTCACCAAAGAACTTTGGTGTCCAATGCTCTGGCTTCTGGGACAACTATGTAGTAGTTTAGTGGGTAGGCTGGTAACATATTGTGTCCTACTGACTCTCTGAAAGAGTGAGACACACTAGAAATTTCAGTTTGCTTAGGGAGTGACCCCCGTTCCGAGAGCCTAGGCAGCAGCTTCTGGAGGAAACCCAGGCACCTGATCGAGATGCCTTTGATTCAAACACAGCAGGTCAAGAAATTAGGGAGGGCAGAATTTTGAATTTGAATTCTGTTGGCTTTTTGTTTAGGTGATTTCATATTTGGCCATTTAGTTTAATTCTGAGAATCTAATTGGTTAACACTATTATTCTAATGTCTATCACCATAGATTAGTTTTTCCTGATTCTGAACTTTTTATAAATGGAGTCACATGGTATACAGTAAATCTTTAAAAAAATTGTTTTATTCTTTATTGATTTTTAGAGAGAGAAGAAGGGAGAAGTAGAGAGAGATAGAAATATTGATGAGAGAGAACACTAATTGGCCGCCTCCTACATGTCCCCCACTGGGGATCGGGCCCACAACCTGGGCATGTGCCCTGACCGGTAATAGAACCAGTGACCTCTTGGTGCATGGGTCGATGCTCAACCACGGAGGCACACTGGCCGGGCTACAGTGAATCTTTTATGTCTGACTTTTCCTCTGACATTGTATCTGTGATATTCATTCATGTTGTTAGGCAGAGCAGTAATTCATTCTTGTCTGCATGTCTGTGTGGTTTTTACTGAATAAAAAGACCACAATTTATTTCCCATTCTACCCTTGATAGAGTTGGCTGGTCCCCTCAAACTACTCTTAAGTGTGGTGACAGGTTCTTACCATAAAAGAATACTGGACCCAGGACACACTGGGGAACAGGAACAGCAGAGTCATGTTACTTATCTCATGCTCACTGAGATACATGGTTATTAAAATGAAAGTCCTAGTTTTCTCAACTATTTAAAATTATTGGCCCTGGCTGGGTAGCTCAGTTGGTTAGAGCATCATCCTGCTACACCAAGGTGGTAGGTTTGATCCCTGGTCAAAGCACACACAAGAACCAACAAAGGAATGCATAAATAAGCAGAACAACAATAAAAAATCAATAAAAAATATAAAATTATTAATTTCTTTTTCTTACAGAAAGTGTAGTTAATTTGCATAAATTTAAAAGTGTGACTTCATTCATTTAGGGTGTCAAAAGTTAGAGGCCTTTAATGCCAGATGAGTTTAGATTTGGTCCTGCTGGCCAACTGTGAGTCTACTCTTGCAAAGATATCTATGGTTTGTTTTTTATTTTTTTTAATGTTTTTATTGATTTTTTAGAGACAGAGGAAATGAGAGAGAAATAAAAACATCGATCAGCTGCCCCCTACTGGGGATCAAGCCAGCAATCCAGGCATGTGCCCTGACCAGGAATCAAACTGGGACCTCTTAGTCCATGGGATGATGCTCAATCTACTGAGCTACACTGGCTGGGCTGTGGTTTGTTTTTGTTTTGTTTTGTTTTTCACCCTCACTCAAGGACATTTTTGCATTTATCTTCAGATAGAACGGGAGGGAGAGGAGGAAGAGAGAGAGAGAAACATCAATGTGAGAGATACACATGGAGTGGTTGCCACCCACACGACCCCAACTGGGGCCGGGGACAAACTGCAACTGAGGTATGTGCCCTCCGAGGGAACCGAACCCAGGATCTTTCAAAGGTCCACGGGCCGATGCTCTAACCACTGAGCCAAACTGGCCAGGGCCGTGGTTAGTTTTTTAAAATGTATTTCTATCTAAGTTTCTTACTGTTACATGAGACACGTCCAGATATTAGTAAGGCAGTGTCACTCTAATTCATGTAACAGAGCTTCCAACCCCCTCAATGCACTTCTCCACATACCGTCTGATTCAGTAAAAGGCATAACCATCTACTCAGTTCCTTAATCCATAAAAACCCGGGAGTGACCCTTGATCATAACTCCTCTCAGTAGCCTGCCCACCCTGCACAATCAGAGCCATCTACCCAGTCAGTAACCTGTGTCTCCAATAAAGACTGCAAAGCCAGCTGCTCCTCCCAGCCCCACTCTGCACTAAGGGGTGTTTCCTGCCTGGTCCCCTTACCTCCACACTCTTGTCTCATCCCGGACTTCCCCTTCCAAATCTATCCTCCATCCAGTGGCTTTTAAAAGTCACAAACCAGGCTATGCCACTCCTTTCCTTAAAGCCTCCCAGTCGCTCAGTATCGAAGTGCCTCAAACTCATCACACTTCAATCTAGACTTCATACACTGGCCTAGAAAGCCCTTCTGGTCAGGGCTGGGTCTCTCCAGGCTCACCCCAGACCAGGTGCCCTCCAGCAGCATGCTCTAGGCCTCCTGCTGGCCTTCTGTCATTAGGACACACCCAGCTCCTTCCTACCTGAAAGTCTGTGCCCTAGCTGCTTGGAAGCGCCCTTTGCCCCACCAATCTCTGTATCAAGGGCTCCTGTTTACCCTGATCAAATCTCAGCCTCAGTTCCTCTGACTGAGCAGCCCATCTGACCACTCAGTCTAAAGCAGTCACCCTTTTACTTTCTAGAACATTATACCATCTTAATTCTCTGCATAGCACTCATCACAAATACTATTTTCTTATATATTTGCTTGGTCTATCTCTACCTGCCTCTAAAATATAGGCTCTTCGGGACTCTCACTGCAACATCCCATTGCCCAGAAAAATACCTGGTCCATAGGGAGCGCTCAATAAATATTTGTGTCTTAGACACGAATCTGATGGCAAGGAACATACAGTAGATGAACCCTTTCCCCAGATCTGTCTGAATTCTGGGCCTCTAAAATAAAAAGCAGAAAAGACACATACATTGCTCTTTGAAAATGTCAACATGAATGACTCTCTGGAGGGATTACCTGCTTCTACTGATACTTATTTTTTAAAACGTCTGCTATATGGTAATGTAATGTTTTATTTATTCTGTCCAGTAATAACTAATATTTGAGAACATTTACAATGTTAATGGAGTTTAATGTAGGAGAAGTTCAACTTAATATTTTTCTTTCTCTCTTTTTTATCCTCACCCAAGGACATTTTTCCATTTTTTGTTCAGATAGAGTAGGAAGGAGGGAGAGAGAAAGAAACATCGATGTGAAAGGGACACATCGAGTGGCTGCTATCCGCACGACCATCCAGGGCCGGAGACAAACTACGTGCCCCTAGCAGGAACTGAACCCGGGTCTCTCTGGACTACAGGCCGACGCTCTAACCGCTGAGCCAAACCGGCCAGGGCCAACTTAATATTTTTCAAAATATTTCAATACTGGGTATTAATAAGAGAGATAATTATGGTCAAAATTATTATGTCAAAACTTAATAAATGTCTGATGGTAGTGTACATACAATTCAGTTTTTGGTGTAAGGTTCTTTGGCTCTAAGAAAGAACATTTGGTTTACTTCACTGATAGGAATATCTCTTAATGCTGGAATGGCCTCTTCTTGGTATTTCTTCTGCTGCTGATTTTTAGCGTAGTTATCTGCAAACAGAGGACAAAAGGCTTTGATTACCCAACAATTTCTTCTGTCTCTGTGGTTTATGGAGACCTATTACACAATTTACTAGGCTAATGCTTGGATAATGAATGACAAATACCATGTTTAAATATAATTAAAAGATTACTTGAATTCTCTCTTTAGAATAAATGTCCCAGTTAGAACAGAAATCAGCAAAGTACTTCTTCGCATCTCTAACTTGGATAAAAAATTAATATTTCATTCATCTATACAATGATGGTTAAAGTCCCATTTGCACATTTCTCATAGGAACAGAATTCTATTCAGGCTTAAAAATATATATATAAATGAACACCTGAAAACTATCAAGTCATTTGGTACAATCATTCATACAACTTAACACTTTCCCCTCTCTGCACAGATTGTCTGTTTGCTGTGATTCCAGTCAAGAATGCAGGGAATACAGTAGGTTATCAGCACAGAAATATAAAAATAACTATAATTGATTTTTAAAATACATTGTATAGGCTCACACACACACACAAGGCTTTGAAAAGTTAAAAAATCATACCTGGAAACTTAAAAAATACCTCACTTCCTGGAATCCAAGGAAGCTTAGAAATCTGTCTAACTTATTTTAATCATCAGACTTGAAAAAATAACTTAAAAAAAACAAACTGTAAAAACATGCTTTGGCTTGTCTACCCCTTTACTGGGGGCAAAAACATGTTAACTAGTACTATGAACAGCATATTCATCAGAACTTATTTCCCATGTAAACATTTCTCTGGTATAACTTTGCATTATTTCTCCCAAGTTCTTTTTACTGTGCCAAGGGTTATTATTGCAGCCTGTTCTTGGTTGGTTTTCGTTTTCTTTTTTTTAATTTTTGTTTGTTTTTTTAGAGATAGAGGAAGGGAGAGAGAGAGAAACATCGACGGGCTGCCTCCTGCACTGCCCCCACTGGGGATCAAGCCTGCAACCCCGGACCTCTCAGCCCATGGGACGACAGTCAGTCCACTGAACCACAGCGGCCGGGCTTGGTTGCTTTTCTTGATAAAAGCACTAAGAGCCCACTCCTCTGTTCCCCAGCACTTCCAACCGGTATAAATTTACCTGTGATTGTATGAATGGAGTTGAGTGGCGAGGTACTCATCATGTTTACTCCAAATAAGAGTATGTACCCGATTACTATAGTAATGAGGAGGTAGACAGGCAATGCAACTGCCCAATACCTGCAGAAGAGAAAACTAAGTAGGTAACAGATTTCCCCAAAAGTTGTAATACTTACAAGTTCATCAGTAAGTTAACCTAACCTTTAAAATTTAATTAAAGTAATAAATGTATACGAAAGACAGTCAAATGGTTCTTTGCAGAGTACAAGGCCTGTAATGAAAATCTGCAACCTGTATCCGACCTATCCTGACCCTGAAGTCTTACCCCTCAAAAAGGACTTTAGTACCTGAGCTGTTTCTTTTGGTATTTATCTTCACATCTGTGCACAATGTACTCATATAATTTCCTCTTAATTTTCCAATTTCAGACATTTTTCTGCACTTCCTAAGATGGAGATGAGGAATTTAGCTCTTTTACACTCTCTTACCTTCCCCCTGACCTCTTACTATACTTATGTAATTTCTGGTCATATCCAGTTTTTAAAAATTATTGTGTCTGAACAAATAATGCTTGCAACTGAGTACCTTGGTGTTCTTATATGTTTTCTTGAACAATTTTTTTGCTTTTCCTGGAATTAGTAATTCCATCTTTTTGTGCGTTTGCTTATGTTGCATGCGCCCATCAGTACTCAAGCCCCAGACTCCCCAACAGGACTCCACTACCCCCCAATGCAGCTGAGCACACCATGATTGCAGGTTTGAGCTGAGTGCACTGTTTCCTCAGTCATTCTCCCCCTACTGTTTTCTGTTTCCGGAACTTCTAAGACTTAAGACTTTTCTCACCATTATACTTTCCTCATCTTTAGTCTATTTTCCATTTTGCTGTCTTTTGTTCTACTTTCTGGAGATTACTTTTGGTTTATCTTCTAACCCATCAATTAAAATGAAAATTTTGGCTGTCATATTTATAATGTCCAAAACAGTAGTAATTCCTTAAACATTCCTTTTTTCTTTATTGATTTTAGAGAGTGGAAGGGAGAGGAGAGAGAGAGAAACATTGAAGAGAGAGAACATCGATTGGCCGCCTCCTGCATGCCCCCCACCGGGGATTTGGTCCACAACCTGGGCATGTGCCCTGATCAGGAATCGAACCGGCAACCTCCTGGTGCATGGAGCCACACTGGCTGGGCAAACATTCTAATTTTTTATTCTGTTCTTGTTTCACAGTTATTTTCTTCTATTCCTTCCATTAGCTCTATTTCTTGCAAGTTCCCTTTTTTCCTTTTATATTTAATTTTATTTATTTATTTTTCTTCTTTTTTTAAACCTCACCCAAGGACATTTTACATTTATCTTCAGATAGACCAGGAGGAAGGGAAGGGGGAAGAAAGAGACACATAGACTGGTCACCACCCACACGACCCCAACCGGGGCTGGGGACAAACTACAACCAAGTTCCGTGCCCTTAGCGGGAACCAAACCTGGGACTCTCTGGTCTGCAGGCTGATGCTCTAACCGCTGAGCCAAACTAGCCAGAGCTATTTTTTTTTTTCTTTATTGATATTTTTTAGAGAGGGAGAGATAGAAACATTGATGAGAGTGAACATCGATTGGCTGCCTCCTGCATGCCTTCCACTGGGGATCAAGCCAACCTGGGCATGTGCCCTGACTGGGAACTGAACCAGTGACCTCTTGGTGCATGGGTTGATGCTCAACTGTTGAGCCACACTGGCCAGGCTGTATTTAAAAAAATATATATGGTAAGTTATGGTTGTCCACTCATATTTAAAAATGAAGAACTAACAAGGTAATTAGAAGCACTGTGTATATGTGGGCCAGGATGGCCAACTGGTGAGTCTCACTATAGGAGACCTGGCCATTTCACTGGGGAATCTCCAAATGTCAGAGATTAGGGACCCTTTCTCTTGAGCAAGAATATTTGTGCCCTAGAACTCCAGAAAGGATTCCTCAGGTAGGAGCCTCCCATTTTGCTGGGAGCAGCAGGGTGGTGTAAGCCTGGCAGCCAAAAGCCTGGAGCCTAGTGAGAAAAGGTGCTTGGGGGGAATCTTATCATTCAGCAGTGCAATTATTCCTACTCACTTCCCTGTTGTCAGTAAGGTGCCTCATTCCCATGCTCAGTTAGACTTTATGTCTACAGACTCTTCATCAACTTCCAGAGAGTAAAACTCCTGTTTTCTGCAGGAAAAGGGAGGGTCGGTCTCTTTGCTTTGAGGGATGAGGAGGGGGATTTGAGGGTCTTATGCTCTTTAAACACTGTTTTCGGCCCAATCCAGAACTACCATGTTAAAGAGGTACCTGGTACATCCAATTTCTGAGCCCTTCTGGAGTTCCAGGGCACATATTTTCTTGCTGGTTTCCCTACTTCAGCACTGTGAAAAAGTGGAAACTTTTAACTCTCACCTATCTGCAACTCCAAAATATTGTTGATTCTTCTTACCTGCTATTCCGTTATTTATTCTGGGTTTATACCTTTAAACTTTTTTATTCCTACAGAGTTAATTTAGCAAAATGTTGGGAGGAAATGAAGACAAATGTGCGTTCAAAGCATCATTTTAAATTGGAAGTATATCAATAACGACCTTTAAAAAGCTTTAAATTTCTACGTGGCTATTTATGGATCTTAAGAGAATATTTAAGATTTGAGTAGTGTTAATAAAAAATCTTGTCCTTCAAAACAGCATTAATATATGCTTATTTTACTTACGCAACACATTAAACTTACTTTTGAGGCCAATAGGTTAAGCTTAAGGCGTTTAGCCAAGACTCAGGAACAAAAGCCCACACGAGATACAGTACTGTAAAGGGGGAGAAAAGTCCAGTGAGCATGCATCTCATCTGCTGAGGTTCACATACAACAATGAGCGACTGTGAAGCTTCCCCGATTCACTCAGAAATGATTTTTGTCTCCTTTCAGTTTTTCCAGCTCCTTATTTGTATCACTCTTTTAACAGTTATTACAATTACCTTATATCTTTTTGTTGTTGTTAATCCTCACCTGAAGATATTTTTCCATTGATTTTTAGATAGAGTGAAAAGAAGGGAGGGGGGGAAAGAGAGAGAGAGAGAAACATTGATATGAGAGACATATTAATTGGTTGCCTCCTGCACCATCCAACTAGGGCCAGGGATGAACCGCAACCGAGGTACGTGCCCTTGAACCCGCAACCTTGGCATATCTGGACAATGCCAAGTCATGGAACTGAACTCGTGACTCACTGGTCTGTGGGCTGATGCTCCAACCACTGAGCCAAACTGGCCAGGGCTCTACATTATATTTTAAGCAATTTAAGTTTAGCAATTCTTGTAATTCTTTTTTTTTTTAAAGAATAGTGTATCCATTTTGAGAGAGAGAGGAAGAGAGAAACATTGATGTAAGATGTTAACATCCATCAGCTGCCTCCCCAACGCCCTCTACAGGGGATTGAGCCTGCAACCTGGGCATGTGCCCTGATGGGAATTGAACTGGCAACCCTTTGGTGCATGGGACTACACCTAACCAACTGAGCCACAATGGCCAGGAAAGTCCTTATAATTCTTATAGCACCTGGAAATTTGCTTTATGCATAGTAGGTGTTCAGTACTTCATCCCCACAGGGTTGAAAAAATTATAGATATGTAGTTGCTCAAAGGTGAATTAACCTATTCTTGCTCTGACCCCCTCCTTTCATGTTGGGCTTCTCTACATTATCTCCCAGAATACAATCTTATTTCCCTCAATCCAAGTGTCTGTGGCAACCTTTACAGCTGTTTATATGTAACAGTGAACCTTTGATCATTCACTGTGAGGTAAGCACAGTTCCACTTTACATGCATTATTGAATTAAATCCTCAGGACAGTTCAATGAGGTATCATACCATTTTTACAGATGAGGAAATGAAATCTTAAAAATGTTACATCACCTTGGCCTGGTTGCTAAGTTAGAGCATTGTCCAGATATGCCAAGGTTGTGGGTTTGAATCCTGGTCAGGGTACACACAAGAATCAACTAATGAATACATAAATAAGTGAAACAACAAATTTATGTTTTTCTCTCTCTCTCAAGTCAATAAATTAAAAAAAAAAAAGTTATATCATCTGCCCAAGGTATATAGCAGAGACAAATTTCAAACTACTTGTATCAATGATAATGATTAACATTTTTCTCAACAAATATGTATTAAAGAATTCTGTATGCCAGGAATGTGAGATACAAAAGTGAACCCAAAAGAGATGCCTCTGCCTGAGCTAAAAATCGAGTGAGACACAGAGACAAGTAAATTGATATTTTCAATATACTGTGATAAGCGCTAATGAGTGAGTAAGAAAAGATGCCATAGAACATGTAAGAAGGACCTCAGTCCACACTGGTGGTGATGGAAGTGATGTTAATGGTCAGGAAAGATTTCCTGGAGGAAGTGACTAAATTGGGGCCTAAAGGATAGAGGGGGCTACCTAGATTAAAACTGTTTATGGTTGGGCCTGTAGATGAAAGGAAGGAAGGACGTAAGAGAATATGGTGTTCCCTTCCACAGAGAAAGCAAGAGAGATTAGGTGTGGCTTGATGGTAGGGGGAAAGGGGGGCAAGGGACTCCTGCATATCCCCTACCGGGGATTTGGCCAAAACCTGGGCATGTGCTCTGACTGGGAATCAAACTGGGACCTCTCAGTCCATAGGACGACACTGAATCCACTGAGCCATGCTGGGTGGACACTTAGTTTTTAAGGATAATAAAATACAAATAGGGGAATAATTTACTAATTAAAGGAATAATTATTTATTGAGTATCTACTATATACCAGGCACTATGTAAAGGTCAAGGTTATACAGAAGAATAAGAAATGGTCCCTATTCTCAAAAATTAGTGCAGGAGACAGATATAAATCAAATGAAGTGGCAGGAGCTTCATGTGCATTACCTTATTTGACCCTTTCCAAACCCTTTTGAGGGGTGTGCTTTTATTATCCCTAATTCACAGATTAAAAAATCAAGACTCATGCCCTGGCCAGTTTGGCTCAGCGGTTAGAGTATCGGCCTGCAGTTCAGAGACCTGGGTTTGGTTCTTGCTAAGGGCACGTACCTCGGTTGCAGTTTGTCCCTGGCCCTGGTTGGAGTCATACGGGAGGCAGCCAGGGACTTTTTTTTTATCTTCACCCAAGGACATTTTTCCATTTTTTTGTTCAGATAAGAGTGGGAGGGAGAGAGAGGAAGATAGAGAGAGAGAAACATCGACGTGAGAGTGACACATCGACTGGCTGCCTCCCGTACGACTCCAACCAGAGCCAGGGACAAACTGCAACCGAGGTACGTGTTGGAATCGAACCAACGACTCATTGGTCTGTGGGCCGTTGCTCTACCACTGAGCCAAACCAGCCAGGGCTATTTTTATTGATTTTTTAGAGAGAGAGGAAGGGAGAGGGAGAGAAAGATAGAAACATCAATGTGAGAAACATTGATCAGCTGTCTCCTGCACACCCCATACTGGGGATCGAGCCCACAACCCAGGCATGTGCCCTGACCGGGAATCAAATTGGTGACTTCTTGGTGTGTGAGAGGACGCTCAATCCACTGTGCCACACCAGCTGGGTGTCTTCCTTCATGTCTTAGCTCAAATCTCACCTTCTTGAGAGGTTTTTCCCAGCTAACTTGCTATTCCACCTGTGTCCCACACACAACACTCTCATTACTTTCTATCATTTTCCCTTATTTCCTTCAAAGCTCTTATCATATTCTGTCATTACTGTTATGGATGGAATGTTTGTATTCCTCTCAAATTCATATGATGCAGCTCCAATGTGCTGGTATCTGAAGGGAGGGAAGGAAGCTTAGATGCCATCATGAGGATGGGGCTCCCATAATGGGAGTGGTGTGCTTCTAAGAAAGAAACCAGAGCCTGCCTATGCTCTCTCTCCACTATGTGGAAACAGAGAGAAGGTGGCTGTCTGCAGGCCGGCAAGAGGGACTTCGCCACGAACAAAACCATGCTGGCATCCTGATCTTGTACTTCCCAGCTTCCAGAACTGTGAGGAAAAAATGTCTATTGCTTGAGCCACCCAGTCTATGGTATTTTGTTATAGCAGCTAAGACAATTCCTTTATTTTTAAGTCAGGAAGTTTAGGAACTATTTCAATGTAGAGAATTATATAACATTCTTGTATCCCCCATCTAGTTTTATCATAAATGGTGGGTACTGACCTCTGACCTCCTCCATCTACCATCTGCTTCATTTTCTCAGGCTTCAACCTTACTGACCTCCACCTGTTCCCTGAACCCACAGGCCTGCTTCTTCCCACGGGCCTCTATACTGGCTATTCTCGCCCGGGAGGCTCTTTCCCCAGATTGCCACATGGCTAACTCACACTTTTCATGTCAGTGCTTAAACCTCACCTCACAGTGAGACACTTCTAGACTGCTGTATTGAAATTTCTTTTAAATTGATTTTTTAGAGAGAGAGAAACATTGATGTGAAAGAAACATCTGGGGACCAAGCCCACAACCCCAGGCATGTGCCCCGATTGGGAAATGAACTGGGACCTCAGTCCATAGGATATCGTTCAATCCACTGAGCCACACCGTCCAGCCAGACTGCTGGATTTGAAACAGCAAGCTCCTCCCACTTATTCTCTTTCTTCCTTAATTTCTCCTCATGGTACATTATCATCTACCACTGAGCCAAACCGGCTGTCAAAAAAAAAATGGTGAATTACCCTGACCGGTTTTGCTCAGTGGTTAGAGTGTGAGCCCATGGACCAACGAGTCTCAGGTTTGATTCCAGTCAAGGGCATGTACCTTGGTTGAGGTTTGTCCCCAGCCCTGTCGGGTCATGCGGGAGGCAACCAGTCGATGTGTCCCTCTCATGTCGATGTTTCTCTCTCTTCCTCCCACTCTACCTGATGATAAATAAAAAAATATCCTCGGGTAAGGATAAAAAAAAAATTGTTGAATTAATTTTCGTTGTGAGTATTATTGGATTTAAGTCTTAAAGTCATTGCTTTTATTATTTATTTGTATAGTTTCTCATCCTCAAAACAGCCATAAAAGGCAGCAAAGTGAAGTCAACCCAGTGCCTGGGTTCAAATTCTAGCTCTATCATTTACTGACTGCATGACCTTGGCACGCTATTTAAACTCCATGTATCTCAGTATTCTCATCAGTAAAATGAGGACAATAATAACATCTACTTCACAGGACTGTCTTGTGAATGATGAACACTGAATAAACATTATCACCAGTTTTTTACACATGAAGAACCTGAAGGCTCAAAGAGGTTAAATAAATGGTTCCTGGTCACACAGCTAATCAGTGGAAGAGTTAAGCTCTAAACTCAAGTTATAACTTCACTCTACAGACTCCCCTACCTAACAGTGTGGCTGGCTATACTGATACAGTTAAGGTTCACACATCCCTCTTCCTAGTTTCCACAAAATTCCAAAAAGTTGGATCGTGGATACCCAATTTCCTCCTCCTTGTCCCCTCATAATTCTCAAATCCTTCTGGGAAGAAATGTGGGGCCTGCTGTGTGACTCTGGCTATTAAGAGTCTCTGTGAGCATCAGTTTCTTTATCTGTACAATGGAATCTTATAGGGACTGAGTGAGATTCAGAATGTAAAGTGCACCTGACTTCTCTAGCCTAATTCTCTTCACTCCCCAGCTCTCACAAGCAGCACAGGAGCCACTTCCAAAGCCTCATTAAAGGCCTTCCCACGTCTTCCTTACTGTTGAGAAGAAAGACGAATGATTTCCCAGTTTGATTTCATGTCTCTCCACTGGGCTCACATGGCACTTATCACACTGAGTGTTAATTGTAGATTTACTTGTCTGCCTTGTCCATAAGATCATGACCACAGAGACCAGGTTTTATTCACTTTGCAATCCTGTCTGGTGTTATATAAATATTTGTTGGGATAAAATCTTTTAGTTTAGTACCTGGCATATAGAACACTCTGAACAAACACGAGTTCCCTTCAGGTTTTCTTAAAAAGAAACATAGGTAGAATGAATCACAGTTTCTCTATGCACTTTCTAACAACGAATGCAATAATTTCCTTGTCCTTGGACACCAGGAAAAAGCCGTGGCCATCCATCAGCAAAATACTTACTGAAGCCAAATTGGGAGCTTAAGAAAAGAACAAAGCCATAAATCGCTCTTTCTGGCAATGGCGACGGTGAATTTTCCACCATGTTCCCCGTGGCTTTGAGACAATCTGTGGGAAGGAAACACAATCACCGTTAGTGATGTACTCCCCTCATTGGTCTGTTATAACCTCATCGCTTAGCTACGGGCACAGCCTCCGCAGCGTTTTTTTTCAGCCTAAATCACTGCGAACTGCCATCCTGCGCACACACCAACACACGCCCGCTTGCACGCGCGCACACCAGCACCCACGTCTAACCTGCACGCGCACACCAGCCGCCAATCGCGTGTACACGCGCGCACACACGCCGGAGCGCGCATACCCTGCAGCAGAGGGGAGGGGATGGCCGGGGACGAGAGGGAAGGGAAGACACACACGACTCTACATTCCTGCAGGCTTCGCCTCCCCGCGGGACAAGACAAGCAGAGCAGGGCGGCGAACAAGGCCCGGGACTGGGCCGCGGCGCTCAAGACCGAGCACCTGCCTCTCCGAGGGGAGGGGAGGGCTTCTGTTGCTCATTCGAGGTCAAGGTAACCCTCGACCTTGACTCCTTCAAGCACCCACTTGCTCCCCCCCCAACAGCTTAGCTAGTTCAGTGCGGAGTCCCCGCGCAAGCGCCGACCTGGGAGCCGCAGCGGGGCGAGAGGGGGAAAACCAAGCGAGAAGCCAAGCGGTGACTGCACCCTCCACCCAGGCGCAGGCGCACCGCGACCCTCATCCGGACGGAGCTCGGGAGTGCGGGGTCCCGCGGGATCGCTCGCTCGCCGCCGCGGAGGAGGAGGCGGGGCGGCGCGACCGCGCATGTGCGCTGCGGTCACGTGACTCGCCCCCGCCCGCGCTGGCTGACGTGGAGGGTCCCAGGCTGCGGCGTCGGCGTCGGCGGCCCGCGTCCGAGGCTCGCGGGCGGCGGGCCCGGGGTGAGTGCACACCTGGCGCGTGGCAGGGCTCCTGGATGTGTCACCTTTTCGCGCTGCAGCCGAGATGCCCGGGGAGAGGGGCCCTCCACACCCCCTCCGTGGGTGTGTGGTGAGTGTGGGTGTGTGCGCGTCTCTCGCTGTGGTGCCTGCGGTGTGCCTGCGTGGATGGGGTGCCCGCGCGCTGGGGGTGTGGCCGCCTTTGTCAGCCTCAGTGGATATGTCCCTTTTGTCTGGTGTCCCCCTTCTGCAAGTGTAGGCCCCTCCGAGGGTCTGTGCGAGGTGGGAGTAGCCCCTTTGTGTGCGCATTCCCTTTGCCACCCGCGCACCTTCGTCTTGAGGGTGACACCGCTACTAGGCGAGTGGTCCTTCGGCCCGAGCACGCAGGCACGCGCCCGTGTGTGGCCTCCCGGCCCCTTCGTGTCCGCGCAGGTTCGTTCTTCCCAGTGACGGCGAGGGCGCCCCCGGCCGGTGTGGGTCGCTCCTCTTTGTGTCGCTGCCCCTTTCGCGGGGGGCGGCGGTGCGCGTCCCCGCACCTTCTGCAGTCGTGACCCCCGCCTGCAGCACCTCCCGCCCTTGTGTGCGTTCTCGCGTGTCCCCGTCCGCGTGCCGCTCCTGGGTGATGTCGAGTGCGTGATCAGCGTGCGGGTGTTCGTGAACGTTCGTGCACGCCCCGTCTTCTGTGTTTTGTGTTGCGACACCTGTTTTCCAGTTCGGACCGGCCCCTCCCGTCCCCAAGGAGGGGGTCTGGTGAGGAGAAATTAACCGTGCGCGCTCCCCCTCCCTGACGCCTCTGCAGCGTGTCCTCCTCCAGCCCCCACGCACCCCCATTCCCTGTAGCTAATGGGGAAGCGGGAGCAGCAGCGGGTCCAGCCAGCTTCTGAGTAGTGTTTACGACGTATGGTGTGGCCTGTCGAGCCAGCCTTTTCATAAAGGGGACCAGGGACCAAAAATCGAGCCGAGGCGTAGGTGAATTTGGGCTGGGACCAATGCGTGCCTTTTCTAGAGGCGCCCTAAGCCCCCAAAGCCCTTCCATTGCAGACTTTTTTTCAAAATTTACAAAATCAGTACATTCTAGCCGACCCTGGGGTTCCTGATAATACTTAACGGTTCATACAGTGTTTTATGGCGTTCACATAAATCACCTCTCTTTGATTCTACTTAACATCCTGGCGAGGGAAACAAGGTAGACGTTTTACAGATTTTACTTCTCTGGAAGCAGTTTCCTCATAGGCACAGCTCTAGCTAGGACATTTTTTTATTACCAGAAATTTGCATTTTATTCTGAGAGAAAATGGGATATATTGTAAGGATGCACAGGGAAAGAAACTTCAAACCCTTTAGGGACCCAACTACTAACTACTCTCTTGCGCAAGGGTTCGTGCTCTGCTCTCAAGGGCTGTGTTTTGGTGTGTTTCTCTGTTCATTTCCTCAATTGTCTTACTCTTGCCTAATTTTCCTTTTTAATTTCTGGCATATTTCATATATGCATACAAACGGGGAATCTAACCAATTTATGACTTAGATTTACAGATGTAATAATTTTGTCAAATTTACTTCAGATTCTTTTTTTTTTTTTTTTAAGAAATAAAACTGTGGGTGTTGGAGGTGGTCTCAGCTCTTCTCTCTCCTTCCCTAGAGGTAGCCACCGTGTTTAGGTTTGTGTATATCATTTTCTTGCATATTTTATACTTGAATCACAGTGAATCCATAAACAATAATATAGTGTTGTGTTTTTAAACTTTAATGGTATGAGAAAAAAGTGTCTTTTTGCAACTTGCTTTTTTTCAGTCAGCATTACATTTTGATATTTATAAACAAATAAATTGGAAAATTGTGTTATCTTTGGTTTGTTCATTTTAATTGCTAGTATGGAATACCATTGTATGAATATACCATTATTAATTTATCCGTTTCTCTATTGATGAACTTTGAGGTTGTTTCTGGTTTTTTACTATAAAAACAAATCTGCAATAAACATCTTTGTATTTGTTTGCTTGTGCACACATTTGGAAATTTCTCTAGGAAATACACCTAGTAGTAGATTTGCTGTTTAGTAGGATATGTACATCTTCAACTTAACCAAATATCACAGAAGCTCTCAAAATGGTTGTACTAATTGTAACTCTCACTGGTATTGAGTGAGGACACTCATTCTCACATCCTTGCTAACAGTTTATGTTATCAGATTTTTACATTTTTGCCCTCCCTTTACTGACCTGCTTCCTTATAACTTTAGTTTGCAGCTAAATTTGGCCTCTCTAGCCAGGTGGCAGCCTATGGGTTTACCTCTCACAGCTAACTGGGTTAGTCTTTATCTCACTTGGTCCTCGCAAGATTAATGCCAATAAACATTTATTTTGTACCTAATGTATGTGAGTTCTTATGGTTGATGTAAAGGTAGTAATATCCATGGTATATGTACCTTTCTAGTGGCAGGTGAGGTGATTTAATTAAATGCTTTTTTAATATGATGAATTGTTTTTAAAAATCTTTTTTTCTCTATTTAATGTTATATCTGATACATTCAAAATATATGTAACCTATTTAAGTTGTAAAGCAAAATAATAAAACGAACACCTATCAATCCACCACTCATTCCAAAAAACAAAATGACCAGTATTGAATGTGCTCACTTCCAGAGTGACTACTCTTCTGAATTGTGTGTGTCATTCATTGTTTTTTAAAAATAATTTTATCAGATATGTATACATCTCTCAACAGTGTATGGTTTCTGTTGTTTTGAGTTTAAAAAAAGGAATACTGGATACAGTTTTCTTGGACTTGATTATTTCACTCAGTGTTATGTTTCTAAGGGTCGCTAATACAGAGTATAGATTTGTCATTAATTTTCTTTGCTGTGTAATATTCCATGGATGAATGTAACACAGTGTATACATTCTTCTGTTGATGGGCATTTTGGTTCTGGGTTGCTATTAGTGAAGATTCGTACATGTTTTCTGGTACACAGTTATAAGAGTTTCTCTAATTTCCCCACTGGGCATATGACCCCCAGGGGAATGATGAAGATTTTTCTAGGGAGCAATTGGGCATAAATGATGTTAATTAATCTATTCAGTTTATAGATCAAGTTTCATGAGTACTCTCCTGAAATTAGTGATGTCTGAGGCCCATTATAAAGGCCTCCCTCCTTCTGGTTCTGGTTTCCCCCCTTCTCTTTCACAATAGTACTTCTACTTTATTTTTTTTTATCCTCACTCGAGGACATTTTTCCACTTTTTGTTCAGATAGAGTGGGAGGGAGAGAGAGAAACATCGACGTGAAAGGGACACATCAAGTGGCTGCCACCCACATGACCAATCAGGGCTGGGGACAAACTGCAACCGAGGTATGCACCCTTTGTGGGAACCGAACCCGGGTCTCTCGGGACCTCAGGCCAATGCTCTAACCGCTGAGCCAAACTGGCCAGGGCAGTACTTCTACTTTAGATAAGGAAGGCATACCACTCATCCACATGGAATCTTTGTAGGGCATTGCCCCAAGTGGGAAAACTCTCCACAGAAAACAAAGGGATAATTTCAAACAATGTTTAGTGTTAGGGAAAGCTTCTTTCAGTCCAGGTACTTCCCATCTCAGGAGCTGCATTCCAAAAAACTGTAACATTTAGTGTTTAATTGTCAGTGTATATGGTTATTTTTATCAACTGCTATAATAATTACAACATTGTTTAAACCAATGAATGTCACTTTTATTTTAAAATGTCACTGGGAGCCCTGGCTGGTGTGTCTCAGCAGTTAGACCGTTGGCCTGAGCACTGAATGGTCTCTGGTTCAATTCTTGGTCAAGGGCACATACCAGGGTTGCAGGTTCAATCCTCAGTCCTGGTCAGGGCATGTTTGGGAGGCAGCCAGTTGATGTTTCTCTCCCTCTCTCTCTCCATCCTTCCCACCATGTCTAAAAAATAAGTAAAATGTCACTGTGATACTCCAGAAATTCATCCTTTGCAGTTATTTAAATTTAGGCTAAATTTTTTTAACGTCATCTTAAACTGTGAAGAGTATATAATTTAAAAAAGCATTTTGATGGTTTGTGAGTAAAAGTGGGTCGGCATACCACTGTGGTAGGCTATGTGCTAGAAGTGGAATTGCTGGGTTATGGGTTATGAATGTTTGACTTTACAAAATGATACCAAATTGTTTTCTGAAGTGATGGTACTAACTTATACTTTGGTCAGTAGTTATATACTTTGATTAGTAGTGTGTAAGAGTTCTAGTTGATCTATATCCTCTCCAACACTTGGCTATGGTCAGACTTCTTAATATTTGCCAACAAATGGGTATGAAGTGATGTATTATTGTGATTTTAATTTGCATTTCTTTGATAATGAATTTGAGTGTCTTTTTGTGTTTATGAACCTTCTGTTTTCCTTTTGTGAAATCTTTTACCCATTTTCTATTTGGTTGACTTGTAAAACTAGTAAGCTGTAACACTGATCCTTTATTGATTATATGCACTGTAAATATCTTCTGTGGCCTGTCTTTTCACTCTCTATGGTGTATTCTGGTGAACAGTACTTAATTTTAATGTAATCTAATTGGAAACTTTTTCTACCCCTGGGATTGTAGACACATTCTCCTGTGTTTCTTTTGAGAAATTTCAAAGTGTTGCCTTTCACATTTAAGTACATAATCCATCTGGTATTGGTTTTTATGTATGATGTGAGGCAGTGATACATATTCATATTTTCCCCCCAAGTGGCTACAATTACCCTCATGCCATCTATTGAAATGACCCTCTGTTTACCAGTGATCTACTGAAACACCTCTTTTTCATGTTTATTCTCTATATGCATGGGTTTGTTTCTGGCTCACCTTTCTGTGCCACTTGTTTACTTGTTTATCTCTGTTGATACCACTGTCATAATTATTACCACTTTACCAGAAATCTTGATGTCTGGGGGGAACTGGAGTCTCAGCTCTTCTTGGATCTTTGTACTTGTTTTAAAACTCAGCTTGTCATGTGACATGAAAAACTTTCAGAATGTATTGGAATTGATTGAGTCAGTTTGGGGAAGAATTCAGATCTAAGATTTTGAACCTTCCTGTCTGGGAACGTGGTATGTATTTCTATTTGTTTAGGTTATTAATGTGT